AATTGGGAAATGTGGAATTGGAGAATGTGAGAATTCAGGGAATTTGGAGTTGGGGAATGTTGAAATTGGGAAATGTGGAATTGGAGAATGTGAGAATTCAGGGAATGTGGAGTTGGGGAATGTTGGAATTGGGAAATGTGGAATTGGAGAATGTGAGAATTCAGGGAATTTGGAGTTGGGGAATGTTGAAATTGGGAAATGTGGAATTGGAGAATGTGAAAATTCAGGGAATGTGGAGTTGGGGAATGTTGGAATTGGGAAATGTGGAATTGGAGAATGTGAGAATTCAGGGAATTTGGAGTTGGGGAATGTTGAAATTGGGAAATGTGGAATTGGAGAATGTGAAAATTCAGGGAATGTGGAGTTGGGGAATGTTGGAATTGGGAAATGTGGAATTGAAGAATGTGAGATTTCAGGGAATGTGGAATTGAGGAATGTTGGAATTGGAAAACGTGGAATTGGGGAATGTGGGAATTAGGAAATGTGGAATTGGGGTAATTTCTGAACATATGTATTTTGTAATCAGAATATATCTCACATTTTCTGCAGTATAAATTCGAAGCTTTTATTGTCCACATCGATCGCAACTTTTTTATTTCCGTATCGTAGAAATTTTCCAGCAGCAAAATTAGTGGCAGATCGAAATCAATGAAACGGTTCGAGTTCGTTGAACGCGTGTTCCGGGCTTCGTCCGTCTCATCGGATCTCTCCTATCGAATTTCTATCTTCCCACGGCTAGACTGCGTAAATTGGAGAGACAGCTTAATAGGCGATTGCGAAATGAGAAGGAGAACAAGGCTGGAGTTGGGGCTCGAACTTGAAACGGGAGATGGAGTCGTTGAAAAAAGACGACGTTAAAGGGCGAGCTACGGCGACCAAGGGACGAGATGCCGGAGGAGAGGGCGGCGAAGTCGCAATTAGCTTTATTAGGGACGAGATCGAGGAGACAGGACACGACGAGGAAACCCTGAAGTAAAGCGGATCGTTTTCCCGGACTAACGACGATCCGTTCAACGACATTTGGCTGGTTTCGGTGCACCTGATAAAGGTACGTGCACGGTGGTCGGTTCCTTCCATTGCAACGCGATCCTTCATGTTCCTAGAAAATGTATGTTCGAAAAAGGATATTAGAAGTCTTTAATTAGAAGAATAAATTGTTATGTGATAAACTTTTCTAGGTTATTTTGCATTAATTATTTAGTTCATTGCCTTTCTTGGAACAGAGTTTACTCCTATTACAAAGATGGCGCTTGAGTTAATCTCATTTTGCTAAAGAACTACAATTAAAGTGTTTTAATAATTTCAATGAGCTCAACAATTTTAATGAATTCAATAAGTACCATAATTTTATGAATTTCAATAATTATAAGAATTATCCGAAATTAATTTAAACGAAACGAATTTTAAAGCCTGCCATACAAGCAGAATAGATAAGTTGCGACTAGAAGATTGATCAAACTAGAATGCTTTTATATTATGAACGTCTCTCGAAATTGAATTTAAAGGAGGAAAGAGAATTGCACTCTGCAGGATGCGTTAGCGAATCAAATTAGACACCCCATACGTTGGTACGCTTTGCTACTATGTATGTACTTCCTTGTCACGATGGATTTGAACTATAAAGATGATTTCACAGGCAAGTCAGGTAGTCAGACGTGAGCTGTGAGCGATACAAGGGTTGACCGAAAGCGAAATCTGTCTCGTCGACGATTAAGAGAAGTTACACGACACGAAATCGTTTCCTCCGTTTACTCTATAATTTACTGCCATAGTGATACGCGAGACGTACAACGAATTCCTTCGAATATTACGATTTAATTGCTATAATGGAAATTTATGTAGAACACTTTTGAAGGATTATTTTAGGAGGATGAAATGAAGAATTTCGTAACTTAGTTGCTGGAATTGAAATAATTTCACATTCTTCGATTCTACATTTCCCAATTCCATATTTTAAAATTCCAACATTCCCCAATTCCCACGCAACCCAATTCCACATTCCCCAATTCCACATTCTCCAATTCCAACATTCCCCAATTCCCACGCTACTCAATTCCACTTTTCCTAATTCCACATTCCCCAATTCCCACGCGACGCAATTCCATACTCCCCCAATTTCCACATTCCCCAATTCCCGCATTCCCCAATTCCTACGCGACCGAATTCCACATTTTCCAATTGCTACATTCCTCAATTTCCACATTCCCCAATTCCAACATTCCCCAATTCCCACATTCCCCAATT